TTCGTCACAGGATGTGACATCTCAACCATCGGTCGATCACTCAACCCAGACCGAAATTCTCCTCAGCGTACCACCTCCACTTTTTCCTCAAGTCCTGCGACTCCATATGGCAGCCCACCAGTCAACTCCTCGGGATCTAAACTTAATTCCCTCACAAGGTACACTCCATCGAAGCTCAATCGACATGGCTGTAACACCCAGAATCAGGAAGACCAAGAAAGGAAAGAAAAGCCCTAAGTCAAAGGAGGCAACTCGTCGAGTCCAAGGAGGAACTCGACGAGTCGGAGCGTGGCCCGTGTCGCGGATTAAGTGACCGACTCGGCGAGTCGGGGAGACTGACTCGGCGAGTCTGGTCTGGGTTGGGAAACCCTAATTTCAGGACTTGGCACCTTATTTAAGCATCTCATTCTCATTTCTAGGGTTTCATTTGCAGCCTCCATTGTCCAGAGACGAAACCCTAGCCACCCAACTTCATTCTTGAGCTTATGAGAGAAGATTAAGGTCCCTTTTGAGTGCATCTTGAAGGTTGAAGGAGAAAGGAGCAAGGAAAAGAGTATAGATCCAGAGTTTGGGTGTCATCTCAGATCATTTGAAGGTATGAAGCTCATACCTTGGCTATTAATCATCTAGATCCCCTTCTTTGTTAGTATCTTGTCACTTTTGGGACCATTTCCAAGGCCAACCTGAGTATTGAGCCTTTGAGGACGAATAGAGATTAGATCTGAGCATTTCTGAACTCTAGAAGCTCTGAGTGAGAAGCTTTACTCAGCTATGACTTCCTTTCATGACTTAGACCTCCATTATAGTTAGAATAGGGTGTTCTAGCCTCACAACACCTTGCATGCACGTAAAGTTAGCAACTTTATGTGCAATGCTAGCATAAGGAGTCCAGATCTATGAGCTGGAAGTGTTGGAATAGACTGAAATCGACAGAATAAAGTTGTCACAAGGAGGACTCGGCGAGTCAGCTCATGGAATCGGCGAGTCGGGTCGCAAAACCAAAACCCTTCTGTTTATGAGTCGGATCAGTGAGTGGGGTTAGAGAAGGACTCAGACAGTTTGTGCCCGTGAGGGACATGAAGATCATGGTACTCGACGAGTTCAAGAAGGAACTCGGCGAGTCCAAGGCAATCTCCTTAGCCAATGAAGATGGACTCGGCGAGTTGTAGAACAACTCGGCGAGTCGATTGAAGATAGTCCCGAAGTGTTAGATGAAGGAGAACTCGTCGAGTTCTCTCTAGACTCGACGAGTGCAGTCGGGGTTGTTTAGGATTTGAGGAGCATGGACTCGACGAGTTGGTAGAACAACTCGTCGAGTCGAGTCAACTGGAAGGTTGACTTTGACCATGACCTTGACCAGAGTTGACTTAGTTGACCTCTGGAGGATAGTTTAGGCTAAGTTCTATTATTTGGTGTTGGTAGCTCGGTGAGCTAGGAGAGCAGCGCTTCAAAGAATAGTCGACTAGCAGCAAGAGGATTATCAACAGAGTTCAACAGTTCAGGTGAGTTTTCCTTCCAGTAGGAACGAGTCTACGGCCTCAATGCCGGCCCGTTTAGAGAGCAATAGTTCCGGACTTTGGTCCGATGCAGTAGTTCAGTATGCTTGATGTCTTTGTGATTCAGGCATGTTTATGTGTTAGTTAGTCCGGACCTCGGTCCGATGCAGTATGCAGTATATGTGCTTATGTTATATGCTATGATCATGTTATGCTATGTTCAGTTAGTCCGGACTTCGGTCCGATGCAGGGGGCAAGGCCCCAGTTAGTCCGAACTTCGGTCCGATGCAGGGGGCAAGGCCCCAGTTAGTCCGGACTTCGGTCCGATGCAGGGGGCAAGGCCCCAGTTAGTCCGGATTTCGGTCTGATGCAGGAGGCAAGGCCCCAGTTAGTCCGGACTTCGGTCCGATGCAGTGGGCAAGGCCCAATATGTGCCTTATATGTTATTATATGGTATGTGGTAGTTTGGGGGAGCTCACTAAGCTTCGTGCTTACAGTTTCAGTTTTGGTTTCAGGTACTTCCGGTAGCGGAGGGAAGAGCTCGGGATGATCGCATGGCACACACCATAGTTAGTCAGCCTGGGATGTTTTACTCTGATGATAAGAATATGTTTTGAATTAACACTCTGATTTTATGCTGTAATTTATGTTATGGATTGACAATCGTGGTTTAAGTAATGTTTTTCAAACGAAATTTTTAGTCATGATTTTTGGGTCGTTACAAGTTGGTATCAGAGCTTTGGTTTGAGGGATTCGGGCACACTTTCGGGTGTGTCTGAACTCAAACTAAGGAAGTGGTATAAAGTTTTCAAGAGGAAAACCATGTTTACAAAAGGATTTTGAGAAAAGAAAACAATTTTAGAAAAAGTATAAAGAAAAGAGTTTTAAGGGAAAAAAAGCGAAAAGAATTTTGAAAAGAGAAAAGGGTGTGGTGCATGCAATCAGCCGAGCTCAAGTAAGTACTCCCAGATTACCCATACAAGTTTATGTTATGATTATCAGTTTCAGTTTCAGTAGAACAACATGCTAGAATAGGACTAAGGATCTAGGAGGATGCCTTATGTGTCTGCTATATGTGTTTCAGCTTTATGAGAATTGCATGCTAGTATTGAGTAGACAGTAGTAGGATAGCATGTTTAGGTTATGCCTGATAGTATGAGCTTAGCATTGTATGCTAGTACAGTTTCTCGTTATGAGAATAGATTTGCTTAAGTAGTTTCCTGTGTCCGAATGCTGCTTGCTTTGTGCTTTGTAGGACTTTGAGTGATGGGAGTTAGCCATCAGGTGAATACGTCACGTCACATGTGATCAGGGTTGAATAATCTCAGAGTGCTAGATTTGGCCCTATTGTACAGCTCTCGTCTGAGTCTAACCGTTGTAGGGACGAGTCTTTTACTCGAAGGATTATCTGAGCCTCGTCACATGTGATGGTATTCAGGTGAGGGATAATTGGCATTACAAGAAGGCCTTCAGCAGCTGAGGATTGGTTTGGGTGGAGTCAGAGATTTTCCCTAGGGCAAGCCTAGGATGAGAGTAGCAGAGATCAGTAGCAGTAGAAGGGACTTGGTAGAGTCAAGGCAGTTCTTGAAGAAAGTACGGATAGATGTGGAAGGTAGTATGGGCCCGTACTACTGAAAGCAGAGGATTCGTACTCGATTCAAGAGGGGCCAAGACAAAGCCAGGGAACTTGTAGTGTGTATGTGTAATCCCTCAGCAGTGAAGTGTATTTTGATAGTTATAGTGATATACTTGACAGTTATTGCGATATGTTTTCAGCATGGTGATGTTGCGCGAGATACCAGTTGGCAGTTCAGGTGCCGAGGAGGGATCTGGCTCAGGCTCTAGAGCCGGACAGCTTGATGACCAGATAAGAGATGTCATTTCCACAGAAATTATGCGCAACATCATTGATCAGACTCATGTGATATTCGGTTCGGTTAGGGAGGCTATCGTGGAGCTTTTGGACAGTCGTCTTGAGGCCTTTAGGGCTGGGATAGTTTCAGGGCAGTTTGGGGCTTGTCTAGAGCCCGAATCTTATGGATCCCATGGATCCATCAGGGAGGGGGATCCCATTCTTAGCTCTCGCCATCAGGGGTCGGGAGTGAGTGGGGCACCCTGTCCCCAGGATAGTTCTCTGTATGATTGGGTTGCTCTGGGATTCTCCCTGCTTCGAGTATGGGTCCTTTGCTTTCAGTAGTACGGGTCCATACTACCTGCCACATCTACCCCTACTTTCCACATGGATCATCCCAGATTTCCTAAGTAGCTGCTCAACTCGTCGAGTCCTTTAGTGTCCAGGAGACCGAAAACTCTAGGCCGAAAACTCGAGTCAAGATACCGAAAACTCTAATCAGCTCACCGAGATCACTTAGAGTCCCGAAAACGGGTAAACCCTGCCTGACTCGTCGAGTTGGCTAAGCAACTCGTCAAGTTCCTTCATCCCTTTTCATGTTCAGTCCTTTCCAGTCGAATCCAAGGCTCCAAACTACAGATCCATCCCCCTAGGGTGTAGTTACCACATAAAGTTGCCAACTTTATATGCATGCAAGGCCTTAAGAGGCTAAAACACTCAAAAATAAGGTTTATACAAGGTTTAGGGCATGGGAAAGGGCCTAGACTAGATAAAATGGGCAAATTTATGTTCATGGAGGCCTAGTGATGTCCAGATCTGAAACCATATCCTCATGATAAGTTCAAACCCGAGAATGACACCATTATGCATCAAAAGTGACAAAATACTTTCACAAGATGAGATATAAGCAAATAGTGGTCAATGTAGCAACTTTATACCTCAAGATGGTTGCCAAACCATAGTAGATGTCAGATCTACTACCCCTCTCTTTACTCCAACCTCTTCAAGCTCCAAATTCTTTCACAACCACACCAAAATCACTCTCCAAGGCTCTCACACACACACACTCAAGAAGGTGTAAAGCTCGAACTAGGGTTTCTCTATGCTGTAAGGACGATGAGGGAGGCTACAAATGAGCCATAAGTTCTTTAAATAGGGTACAAATCCATGAAAATTAGGGTTTTCCTTTACATCGTCTACTCGTCGAGTTGGGGCCTTCCAACTCATCGAGTAGACCCTAAATCCCGCGTCCGAAAAGATCTCTACTCGTCGAGTTAGGGCTCCCCAAGTCGTTGAGTCCTAGTACAAAACCCTAAAATTTTGAGAAATAAATGATACTTGAAATGAGCGTTACAGTGTTTTTACTCCATATTCACCAATGACTTGCACAAGGATACGGTTGTTCGGTTCAATTTGGAAACCTACCTCCGCTCCGATTTCCAAAATTTATAAGATTTTATTTGATCCCATGCTATCAGAACTATTGTCAACATGGATTTGGTTGCCTGTAGGGTTATCGTTAAGATCAAAAGGGTGAGGGGGATCATTATTTCATGAAATCACAACCACGATGTCTAATCGAGGGTCGATTTGTACTGTCATTGTTTTGGGAGTATGGGACGAAGGAGTTCTAGGACCTGAAATGGTTCTCGTTATTTTTTTATCCTTGGTTCCCTGCTGTTTGATTCATTCCCCATTGTGGCGTCAAATAATTGGGCCTTTAAATTAAACTGGGGTGGATTGGTGGAAGGAAAAGGGATGAAGCACCCAAACGGAACCAAGTTCTGAATGGTCCCAAAGGGGTTATTACCTGGACTGGCACCAATGGGATATGTAAGGTTGCTTTCACCGTTATTGACGAAGTTAATGCTATCATTATTTTGTGGACACTCCCCAGGTATCTTTGTATCAACCAAAGTTCCGAGAATATCAATCGACTCCAAGTTAATGGGAGATATTATCTCAACGTTAATTTCATTAATTGTGTCCTTGGGATCGATACCACCGTTTGACGTGGTAGACATCAGAGAAGCTCTAGGATTCTGGTCCGCACTCAATTCCGGTGGGGTAGTCGTCGGACGTCTTTGAGAATTACTTGTAACATCAAAATTTCCAAACCAAATTTTTCGTTATTAAATTCATATAAAAACATTATTCATAAAACCATCTCAAGAAATCAAAAGTTTCAAATATAGATTATCATCAAAATATCAGAGTGTCCCAAAATATCCAGAATCATAAACTACATGAAAATGTGTACAATCAAGTCTGCGCCTTCTCGCGATCCTCAGAAATACTTGAAACACGCTTAATCGAAAACTGTAAGCACGAAGCTTTGTGAGTTCTCCAAAATACCACATACAACACAACAAAAAATAAACAATTATGGGTTATCAGCAACCCTGGAGACTACCCGAAGTCGCAGTAGGCAAACAACACGCCCAGTGAGTTATCAGCAAATGGAGACTACCCAAAGTCTCAGCACACACAGTAACACATATCATAGTAATAGAACATAGAGCCAGTTGGTCATCACAAAATATAAATATATTCTACAACACAGGTAAGAATAGTGAGGAGAATCATGTCGTACAGATGACTGATAGAACTTACATCCGAACTGTTGGAAATAGAACACGCCTAATAATTACACCAACTAACCCTAATCAATAATAAGATAATTTGCCATACTAGACTAATACCAAGACAAGTCTAATCCATGTTTAGGGAAAAAGACTATTTTCCCCTTTAAATCCCTCACAAATCCACCTAAGGCACAAATGGTCAAAAAGTCAACGAAACTCAACATGCGGCCATATGCGCGACATACTTAGCTCTACGTTGGTCGTGGAGCGCAAGGCAGGAAGGGATTGGGCTCGCAACTGGCTACGTTGGGCGTAGCCAGGATTACGCTCAACGTACTCGGCTTTTTCTCAAAACTCAACTTTTAATGTCTTAATCATTAAAACATTTACTCCAACCTCAGATCTGACCCTTAAAGGACGTCCTAATCCATAAAGTCTCTTCGTTTATGCCATGGATAAAGAGAGCATAATCCCAAAACCTTAACTTCTAATATCACAAAAAACTCTATAACACATGTATGGAAGAAATGAAAGGACCAATCTACCATTTTTATGACTCTAAGCACCCTAAAACGTCTGAAAGGACAACTCTTATTTTGGAGTATTCCATACTCACAAAGATTAAGGTTTTGAGACAAAAAGAAAATAAATCCACGCCTAAACAAGATCTAACAAAATAAGCTCCAAGGTATGACTTTATACCTTCAAAAGATGAATAAATAGATGTAGATTCTGGATTCGAAGGCTTGAATGCACCACCACTTTTTGAATGATATCTTCCTTCACTACCAAGAAAACTCAAGGATCACTCTCAAGCTTCAAATCTCACTCACAAGGGCTAGGGTTTCGATTTTAGGGTTTAGAGGAATGAAGGCTGGTCATAAGGAGGTTCAAGGGGGATTAAGATGTTTAAATAGGGGACACAACCCTCAAAAATTTAGGTTTAAAGGAGTGTACGAGTATGCCCGATGTACCTATATGTACGCCCATCGTACTCCTCCTCCGCCACGACTCTCATGCTGACTTATCCCCGACGTACAAGCCTGGTACACCCAACATAAGTGACTAAAGTGCAATAATTTAAAATACTAAGGGTTGAAATGAAAATACCTGGTAACGGGTATTACAGTACCAACATCCACTGCGGCACCATTTTCTTCATCAATCCTTAAATTCTCATTTGGTTTTGAAATTAACATCTCAGGAGTGCACTCTGTGACGTTATCATCACAAATTTCACCTTCCTCGAGATCATTGATGTTTCCTCCTATCCAAGTATCCGAGACAGCATCCTCGTCATCATCATCTACGTCCGCAACATCCCTAATACTATCGGTGTCATCTTCCGAATCTTCCTCCACTTTGTCGAATGGGGCAGGATGAAATGGGTACCAGTCATCAGTGTTCTCTACCACACCTACTATGAATATTTTGCCTTCTGCTATAATCGTGACTGTATCATTGATTCACTTCCTTTGTGATGTTAGAACTCCAATTTTTCCCATTAAGGAATCCCTTCTATTTGAGACAACATTAAATGGGGAGACGACCCTGCCGAATCTACCAACAATAAGTGAGAAATTAGCTTCATCCCACAGTCTTAGTGGTAACCCCAGAATCTTAAGCCATTTCATTTTTTCGTATTGTATAGCATTTTCATTGGCTCTAATCAACCATCTAAACCAATCATTCCACCTGCTTTTGTCGTGTAAAATTCCTTTGCATCCATAGAGTGTTTGAATCTCAGAGCCATGTTAAGCCCCCCAAGATATTTGGCGTCGTCATTCATTAACAGTGAGGCCGTCATGCTTCTAATATGATCGAAGTTGTGTGCTTCACCGATGAGTATGCTTTTGGATAGCCATTCCTACATGAAAGTTTCAGTGCTTAAGACTATCGAGGGGTAATTCTATTTTGTAGCATCAACACCAGAACCTGAGATTACTTGTGCGAAGGTCCTCTTGTCTCTAATTCCATTTGAGGGGGTGGAGGCGGTGGGCCTACGTTCCGGTATCGATGGAGGTTCTTGACGTTTTTAATGGCTTCCTTGGATGCTTTGAGAGGTTTACTTTAAGGGTTATGTTTCTGCATTTTATTCCTTGCAACTTATCTTCTAGTAGTTTCTCATCCACCACCACCTTGAATCTTACGAAGGTGTAATACTTCTTTTGATAGTCCATCTTCCCACTTAGATAGATATCCACCACTCGGCCGAACTTGCCGAAAGGTCTCCATAACTCCGGTTTCGATGTGTCGCGAGGGAAGCCAGTGACGTAGAAAGTAGTTAGTTTCCCTTGTTCCTCATATCGAGTCGCCGTTTTCGTTCGCTGGACTTCTATCCATCCATCTTCCTTTGGGAGCATTTTTTGAAATTTTCAGCAGCAAAAAAAAAGTTGAAAAAGATCAAATAATAAATCATTAAGATAATATTAATTACTACTTCATATTTTTAACACTTTAATTACCCTTTAAGGTGTTTTAAGGAACAAAAAAATCTATAATACAATGCTATTAAATTTATTTATTTATTTTAATCAATATAAGATATTGGTAAGGTTTTTTTTATCATTTAACTAAATATGCTAAACTTATTGTTGTGTGTAAATTTTACTAAATTTTGTATTTTTCTAAACAGACTTGAATTTGTCTTATTAGAGAAATTCTAGAACATAGTAATTGATAAAAATCAAGCAGAATAAATTATTATACACAAAATCAACCATATTTTACTCAAAATAATTTATATAAAACTATTTGAATTTGTATATATTAATGATTATAATATAATGTTGATAATTTATATTTTCATCAAATAATTTTTCTATAGTATCTCATATAAATAAGATTTAGTTATTTGATGAAAAATAGTGTTTTTGTTACATTATAAATAAAAATTAAATATTAATAGTTAAAAAAACAGTGTAACCATGAAAAGGGACGAAGAATAAAACAATAGCACATCCAACTTGTATTGTATGATACAATTTAAAGACATTCATTTTACGCCGAGGTCAAATGGTCAATGTCTTAAAATTATTAATTTTACTTATTCGATTTAAACCATATTCGGAATATCTAAATTTTTTGAAATAATAAAATAAATAAAATACAATATAATTTTAATTTTAATTTGGTTACTGTAAATAAAGGATTTATAAGTATTTTTTTTAATACTTTATTAAAGAGTATTCCCTAGTTTTATTAGAAAAGTTATTTTTTATAGTTGATAATAAATGTCAACGAATGACATAAGAGAATAATTTAACCCAAAAGTGAAGCAAGGAAAGGGCTGGTTTTTATTTCATTCCAACTACCAATTTATCAACACAAACAGAAGCATACGTACAGGTTTTGGTTATCATTACCGACTGTGACACATCATTCCTGACAAAAAGACAATAATTCCTATTAACTACTCTCTTTCATTTGCATTAATTCCTCATTAACTTTTTTCTTTTATAATATAATAATATAATATATAATATTCCCTTCTATATTGCATTTCTCCCAATTTCATGCTATACTAGCCGTATTGCTTTAAGTTTAAGTTTGACTTTTGAGTTTTGATTAAAATTATCTGCTCTTCTTTTTCGAAAGATACAAAGATACACCCATTAATCGTACTTTTAATTTTATATGTTTTGTCTAACATAAAAACTTGAATCCTCAACCACCTAAAATGACACATCACAGTAGAAAAATCACTAAAATTGGGTCTTGAAGAGGACAATTAAATCTTCCATCCTTGAATTAGCCAATAACAGTAGAGTGGCAGCACCAACCACCATAATAGAGAAATCACTAAAATTGGGTCTTTAGAAATGGTCTTAAGAGGGTAAATATTCGTAAATATGGATATTTATGAGGAGAAAACATCTTTCATGTGTTGTACAAAAAATCCCTGTCAGTTGAATTCATATGGACCAAGGTATCGTTGTTTCTGGAAAGACTTAAAAGAAACCTTCTCAAAGAATTGAATTTTTTCATAGTAATTCGCTATTAGATATTTTCTGTGTTTTATCACCAAAGATTAGTTTGTTAGTTTGTGATTATCCATGTTTTCTAACAAAGAACCAACGCTAAACGCTATCAAGTTAGAATGATCTTTAATTAGACATTTTTCTCACATTCATCGGAGAGGTGTTGCGGATGAAGCAAATCGAATATAATGTTTACCAATAAGGTTGCTCAATATTTATCACTAACCTGCCATGGCGTTTTCATCTAAGGATAGCGTTGATCAATAAGTATTATAAATATACTAAAATTTTCAATAATCAACAGAATATGGCAATACCATTACAATTGTTTTATTAAATAAAACAAATATTACAATACACAATATGAAAATCACAACAATCATGACTAAAGTAACCCCCTAAGTAAAATACTGCTTGTAAATTGTTGTTGTTCCAACTTTAAACTATCATTTTTGTTCATCTTATTTGACTGGAATTGTTGTTGTTCCAACCTTAAACTATCATTTTTGTTCATCTTATTTGACTCGAATTGCATTCCTTTAAGATCCGACTGTATATCTTTCAACTCATCGTGCATGTCATTAAGCAAATATGTGTGGCTTTGGAGAGTTAGATCGTATGAAAATTTAAAATTTTTTTCTCTTATCTTGTAAAAAAATATCTCATAAAATGTAGCTAATATATATATATATATATATATATATATATATATATATATATATATATATATATATATATATATATATTAATAAAATTTAGATGATTGGTCCCTAAGCCACATGAAATGACTTCTTTTCTATTTTTAATTTCTTTTATTTTTCTCATGTGTTATATAATTCATGAAAATAATGTATTATTTTCCAACATTCTCCTACTTGGCCAAGTGACTATTTGTATACATGTTTCATTATTTTACAAAGATAAATTCATCATGTTTCATATTAATACCAAAAGTAGAAAAGTACAGATGCATCCTTTTCGATACGGGACCCCCACCGATCATACTATGATACTTCATATGAAACTTACGATTAATTTAAGTCAAATGACTTTAGAGTTAAGTGGTCATGCACTATATTTATCTATATAGAAAGTAATTATGCACAAGTTAGTAATATAGACAAATTGTATATTATGGATAAATAATAATCAAGTACTTGAATAAATAAAATTAAAATTAAAATTTTCATTAAAGCCCTATGCTAGAATTACATACTAATAGGTGTATCCTTAAACCCATATCGACAACATGTTCAAATAATTGGATGGTAGACCTTTCGTTATCTGATCTGCTAGCATATTATCAATGTTAATGTGTTCGATACAAATATTATTTTCCCCGCTTGCTCTTAAAGGAACAAGTATTTTATATCGAGGTAAAACCTCATTCCATTATAATTATTGTTAATGGAAAACTTATAGATGCAACATTAGAGCATTCGGTATGGGTCTGCTATAACACCAAATATTATATGCCACCTCAATCATAACATCACCATAACACCGAGGGGGAAATGGTGTTCCCCATGTTATAACACGTTAAGAGGTAGAGAGAGAAAGAGAGAGAAGGGAATAAAAATGATTTCATTGGCTTAATCTGCTGTTGCAAAATGTCATAATGGCAACGAGAAACACCATAACACCAAGGGGAAAATGGTGTTTCCCATGTTCTGACGCCGTTAAGGCATGTCCACGTAGGCAAAAACATCGTTGTCTAGTCACATACCCAATGCTCTTATAGCAATAAGTTTTCTTTTAACGGACTGGAAATGGAGTTTACGATCATGAGTCATGTGGTTTAATTTCTCAACAACATTCCATGGAAAGCTTCATTATCTATGAAAACAAATTTCACCATCATAGTTGATATAGTCACCAATGTTTATTTATGACTCTTCCATGATATTGGCCGATTAATAATATAAAGATGTATCCATTTATATTTGCATTTTGCAAAGTCATAGTCAAAAAACATATCACTTATGCGTTATTACTTATTTCACTAAGCAAGTTTGTTATTATTAGTCCCATGAAAATATCAGAAAACTTTATGGTAGCTTCCTAGTGATCTAGACCCTGATTTAATTGATAACAGCTTAGCATGCCACTGAAAATGTGCACCTTAACTATGGAAGGAACTGAAGGGAAGTATTGTTGCATTTTATATCGACTTACTACACACTCAATATATGTATTTTGACATAAGTCTAAATCCCTTTGGATTCCTTGATGTATTTATATGCATATTGCATACTAAGCTTCACCGAGATCTTTTGTAACGCCCCGATTCCCGTGTATCAATTTGTGGTGATAATTTCTCATGATTTCAAGGTCTACTCGACGAGTCGGTTGCCTGACTCACCGAGTAGCAGCGGGCTGATCCGCGTGTTTAAATGACCAACTCGCCGAGTCCAAGGAGGGACTCGACGAGTAGGAACTGGCAGATGAAACCCTAAATTCCGGGGTTTTGCACCCTATTTAAGGATCACTTATTCCCCCTTAGCCACTCTTACTGCTCCCCTCGAATTCAGAAACCCTAATTCGTGTTGTCCTCTATTTTGGTGTGCTTCTTAGCTTGGAACAGGGATTTTGGTGAGGAAAGGTTTGAAGACCAAGAAGCTTTGAACAAGGAACAGCTGGGGACCTGAAGTCTACCTCAGTTTATCACCATTTGGAGGTATCAAGTCATCACCTTGAGCTTCTTCTAGTTAAACCCCCTTTCTATATTGAGTTTTGGGACCATTTTGGGCATTTGGTGTTGTATTTCGAGTGATGAACCAAGATCTGAAGTTGAAACTTCAGATCTAGGCTCATCTTGGCCTTTATCATCATAAGGTCTCAGTCTTTAGCATGTTGGTGAAGCTCTTTTGCCTAGAACCTCTTCTTTAGCTTGTTTTGGGTCATTATCACCTTGCATACACGTAAAGTTTGCAACTTTACGTGATAAACATGCCTTGGGAAGCTGGATCTACAATATGGAGCCTTAGCATGGCTTAAAAAGCATCTGTATGGATGAGAGATTGAAGGGACTCGACGAGTCGCAAGGTCGACTTGGCAAGTCATATGAAGATGGTCGTGAACTCGACGAGTTGATGAACAACTCGGCGAGTCCGATGAAGATTGCCTTGGGCTCGGCGAGTCAGTCGAATGACTCGGCGAGTCGGCTAGGGTTTTTCCCAACCTTTGGACACGCATGAACTCGACGAGTTATAGGGAAACTCGACGAGTCAACCAAGGATTTCAAGACTTCTCGAGTTCAGGAAGGACTCGACGAGTCTGATGAAGATTGCCTTGGGCTCGGCGAGTCAGTCGAATGACTCGGCGAGTCGGCTAGGGTTTTTCCCAACCTTTGGACACACATGAACTCGACGAGTTATAGGGAA